AACAAATAAATGCCTTGGGCCAGTCCTAGAACTAAACATGCAAAAATACTTGCTGAATTCATCATGCCCATCAATTTAGGCTGTCTTAATATAAAGGGACCACATCAATAAAGAATTTTCAAGCAGGGTGTAATTTCTTGCCTTCAGCATGAGAAAGAGACACTGAGCACTGTTTTTAGTGAGGTGTCTTAGAGTTTGCACGAAGTATCTCTGAGCAAAACTGATCTCTTTTACCTTAGTGAAGGAAAACACATAGAAATATGCAGCAAGCATGCAGTCAAAAATGCCAGCTGTCCTCCTGATGCCTATTTTTAAATGGTTCTGCAACAGGGCAGCAACTATTGCTGTTTTGCACAATACACATGATTTGCACAAAGCTGTTCTTGTAAATGTGAAGATGTTGCTGATACTGACAGAAGATAGTTTACCCACCAACTTGCAAGGGGAAAAATCTCTGTTTCTTGTTTTCATGCTGGAGAACAAGACAGGTGAGAATTTACCTGGTACTCAAATTGAGTTAAGACTCAGAAAATATTTATTGATTCCAGTAGATTATTGCTATGCCTACGACCTCAGTTGTAACAGGAATTCCATCGGTAATGCACCTGAGATTGTGATGTTCGAGAAAAAGCATGACAAAGACCAATGGTCATTGTGAAAAATAATAATTTAGCACCTCTGTTGAGGCTTTCCTTCTACCTCAAGGTTCTTAGGGTGCTGATAAGTGACAATCAGCTTCCTATCTAGCAGTGACCTGACTGAAGAAATAAGCACCATTTCTTTTTCCACGTTGACTCCTTCTAACATATAAAAGATTATTAAGGGATTATGAGTCCAGCATTCTGTTCTTTTGTGAAAACATTTCTTTCTCTAGAAATGCAACAGAGAGGAAAAACAGCATTCCCTGCACTGGAGCACTCAGTGGGAACATAGAGAAGTAGCTGCGACTCTTCAATATATTAATGACTTCAAGAGGTGAATGTATTTGTCCCTGCTGCAGTGATGGATTCATGTGGCAGCACTCAAAATTAGAGTCCTTGTATGTTTGGTAAATGGTTCAGATTCTGCAAAGTTAATCATCTTCCTAGTCTGGCTGAACTTCTGAGCTAAGGCCAACTTTTCATGATATATGGAGTCTGTGAAGAGGTTTTTAGCCTCTGCTTAATTTCTTGAGCAGAATATGAGGCCTGTGGGAGACCATGCAGGATTTATAAGCCCTTCATAGTCCACACCATGTGCTCCCAAAGCAGCCTGAAACACATCTTCTAAATGAATCCTGATTAAGTAGACCTCCAGGATCTTCCCTTCTGTTTCGTTTGCATGCCAGCTCCAAGGTGAGGGTTTCAGCTAGGAATGGCAAGAGGAGAATGTTCACTGGAGAGGGCATCAGTTGCCATGGCTGCAAAGCATGCAGGCTGTGGCTGGGCATCACTGTAGGTATTTTCCAGTGTGACACAGACAGAGCAGATGCATCTGGAACGCCCACCTAAGGGAGGTCCACATAAACACCATTATCTTTGTCTTCCTCAAGCAGAAAAGACTTTACAAACTACAGGATTTTTTAAAAAATCCAGCCTCTTGCTTCTTTCTTTGTTTTTAACAGCTGCTAGTTTTATGATTCTAAAACTAATTTTAGTGATAACTGTCTGTATGGGGTGGCTGCAAGTCCCCAGTAATATTTCTGATAGAAAGGCAATGTTCTGTAGACTAGGACTAGGACACCTGAGTTCAAATTCTTATTCCACCATGGAACTTACTGGGTAACCTCGGCCGAGTCCCAATCTCTCAGCCTGGCCTATCTGATTGGGAGGAGAAGGACCATGTATGCTCTGTTGAGCTCATTGGAGCAACTGAAGGATGCAAACCTAACTAATACTGATCAATAAATAATGATAACAAATATAATTTTGATAACAACTGGAAGCTGTTTCCATGTGTTGGTATCTGCATATCAACAATCCTGTGCATTTTTACTTGAAAGGAAAAACCTGTTTTGTTCAGTGGGCTTAATTCTCCTAATGCATTCAGAGGGTCACTTCAGCAAATCACAGCTGCTATAAAATGGCAACTGCAACTTGAGAGATCTCAAAGAGGTTTCATGGACACCTCCTCAAAACCTGATGCTGAGATGCTTAATATTCCAGTATCCACTCTTTGGGCAAATAGTTATTTAAGTAACCACTGTATAGGCTTGGGGAAGCTGTATCTGAAATAATTCAAGTTTCCTCAGATGGTTCAGCCCTTTTTTTTCTTTTTGGAGGAGTCCTTCAGGGACAAACAAAGGGAATGTAATGACCTGTGTTTCTTGCCTTCCCATGAATCCAAGATCTGGAAAACTAGAAAAAGGAGCAGGGCTTGATACGCAACTTATTTTGACTACAGCTCCTAGAATCGTCTAGCTAGCATGATCAGTGATTTCCTAAGTTACTTGAGTAAGACTATCCCAGCAGGAGCCATTTAGGGCGCTGATGGTTCATTATGTTTATACAGTGAAACTACCATGACCCTAATCTCCTCACAGAATAACTCTCCTCACACAAGCCAAATTGTAACATTTTTAGATGGAAAGAGGCTGCAGTTTTTGGACAATATTATTCATGTGACTTGTCACTCTGACCAAAAAGAAAGAAGAAACCTTGAAACGACTAACCTCTGTAGGGGCTGCAGTTTTTGGACAATATTATTCATGAGATTTGTCACTCTGACCAAAAAGAAAGAAAGAAGAAACCTTGAAATGACTAACCTCTGTAGACTTGTGTGCAATTCTGACCTTAAGGGTTTTCCCCCCTTGTCTGTCCATTTTCTTCAGGTTAGAATTGTCATCAGCACCATGGACAAGGACATTTTCCTGTAAACTTATTTCTAACATGGAAATGCCCTGAGTAGCAAAAGCCAACTTTGAAAATTCACCATGCACTGCATAAGTGATGGGAGGATGTCCATTATATGAGAGATTTGATATATTTCTGTCAGAAAGTTTCCATTAATTTATTTTGAGCATCTTATCTTTTTTTTTCTTCTTTTACTCCTTCTCTGTTTGATATTCCCTGTATTCTGTGTTTGATGTCTCATGTGTGTCAAACCTCTTTAAGGGAAGGGCCCTTTTATTGTTACTGTCTAAAGTCTTCACTTGCAAACTCAAAAATAGGTCTAGAGAAGGTAGATATCACCTTTCTCCTAGCTTCTAAATTTGCTAGCAATGTTATTGAAAGCCAACCACCTCTCACTGTGGACAGATCAAGAGGCCCTCTTTCCATTTATGAGGTACAAGATACAAATGTCTCTAAAGCATCTGTGCATTTTGATTTGTTATTTATCCTTGTACTGAAGATGAGAGTTCCCAGCCATCATTTCATTGACTTTTTTCTCTCTTCCCCCAATATGTGAAGATAAAATTCGTTTAGGACCCTGATAGCTACTTTGTTTCTTAGCTACATTTAAATGAGAAGTATCTCACAGGACAGCCACAATGCAAAGGTAAAGGTTCCCCTTGACAATTTTTGTCCAGTCGTGTTCGACTCTAGGGGGTGGTGCTCATCCCCATTTCCAAGCCATAGAGCCAGCGTTTGTCCGAAGACAATCTTCCGTGGTCACATGGCCAGTGCGACTTAGACACAGAACGCTGTTAACTTCCCACCGAAGTGGTCCCTATTTATCTACTTGCATTTGCATGCTTTCGAACCGCTAGGTTGGCGGGAGCTGGGACAAGCGACGGGAGCTCACTCCGTCGTGTGGATTCGATCTTACGACTGCTTGGTCTTCTGACCCTGCAGCACTGGCTTCTGCGGTTTAGCCCGCAGTGCCACCACAATGCAAAAGACTAAAATAAAGTGCAAGAAATATATATATATATATAAGCAAGCTGGTATTCACATGAATCAGTATTCAGCTTCAGGTGAAACAGACTGCCAAGGGTCATTGTTTAATCAATGCAATGAACCTCTTCTGTGTTGCAAATAGAAAAGAAAATGATATATGCATCCCCAAGCTGAGCTGGTAGTATTGCCTGTCCTAATAAGATACAGTAATTTCTGTTCCTTCATCAGGATACTTCATGTTGAGTCTTTGTATTTGCTTACTGAAATTATAACTTGTTTTCCTTAAAATTTTGGCAGCTGCTTAGCAAAAATACTGTGTATTTCTTCGCAGCATGAAAGCTTTTTGCAAGCTCTCCTGTCATGAAGGATGTTCCAGAGAAGAAGCCATTCTGAATACTTGACATTTGGGAAAACATGTTATCTTTTTGTAAGATGATGTTTCTTTGAATATGTGCATTGCACAGGACAAACACTGTCTTCTTGGAAATTCTTTGGGAGTAGCAGCTAGTGATGTGACGTAGGCAGAAGAGTGCATATGGAATGAGATGATTTCAACAACCTAGGAGTCCATGGAATGAAGACTATACCTTTAACAGATGTGTCAGTCAGTTGGCTATCCTTCAAAGCTAGTTTGAATGGTCTGAAAATCACCAACATCAGTTTAAACCTGTTATTTCAAAAGGTTAAATTCATGTGATTGGATCGTGGCCTTAGAAAATGATCTGTACAAATGCACATGGGGGGGGAACCAGCAACTTTACACCTGTGTGTATGTGTGCGTATGTGTGCAGGCACACACACACACATCAGTTCCAGCTTTTCAGGAAGCCACATTTTTTAAATTGGCCACAAGCAGAGAGAACTCATCCATCCAATAATACCATTTCCTTTTGATCTCACCAGTCTTGAAAATAAGCCATAAGAAGAAAAATTGGTTGAAAACATATCAGCTTTTGCCCAATACCTGATTTCAAGAAAAATAGGATTAGTTTCTCCTCCCCATATCCAAGGTCTTTTAGAAGTCATCCATTCCTCCATTACCTTCATGAGGTTTGTTATGTAAAGGAGACCAGCACCACACAGCCTTCTCTCTATCTAGCAGGGCTCTTTCGTCCAGTGTCCTCTGCCCTCTGTTTGAAGTGTGGAGGGCATTCTCTGCATGTTGGCACTTTTTCCCCACAGAAGTGACAGAAAGGAAGCTGACACTGGAAGAAGAGGAAGCCAAGCGTATTGCGGAAATGGGGAAGCCAATATTGGGCGAACATCCCAAACTGGAAGTCGTCATTGAAGAGTCCTATGAATTCAAGGTTAGTGCTGTGTACCAGGGCTCTTGTGGAAAAGGAAAGGATGAATACAGGGAGCCTCAAGGAAAAAGAGTGGAGAAAGGAGAAAGTAGCGTATCCAAAGGGAAGCCAGAATAAGTTGGGGAGATACATGTGGACCCATGAGAAATGGGGGAGAGAAGAGAGTGGCAGCAGAAAGTTGAGACAATACTGAGGAGGAGAGGAAGGGGAGCAGGCAGAATTTGAGGGAAAGAAGGGGAAGTAGAGTAAGAAGTTTGGTGATTATATAAAATTCCACAACATTCTCTGGTGTGATTTCTAGAAACGGACCCAGTTAATCCTGATATGTAATATAAGCAACTTGACCAGAGATATCCAAGTGTTGTGTGGCTGTATACTGTGAGAAAGTTATGTGTTTGTTTGAAAGTTGAAAATTTCAGCATCAGATTGGATGCAAGTCAGTAAGTCCTTTGGGGAAACTGTGCTGGGTAATGGCAAGCAAATGCTCTGAGAAAATATTGGGGGGAAAGGTTGAGGCTGACCAAGAAAGGAAGAACTTTGTATGAATGATAAACAAAGATATTACTATTGTTAATTGACAAGATGGCCTTTTAAAGAAAGAGAGGGAATTTCCAACATCAAAACTAATTTTGTGCAAAGTGCAAATTATTGCTCTATAATATGCTGTACTGATGTGCTTGTGAGTTGATTGTTATGTCTTTAAGACTGCAACTCTTTACTCGAAATCAATGGCACTTACTTTTTAGTGGGCATGTATATATTTATACAGTACCATCATCTATGGACATCCACAGGTTGAGCCAAGAGTAGGGAACCTATGGACCTCCTCAAGTCTGTTTGGACTACAGTTCTCATCACCCTGATGACTGGCCATGCTGGTTGAGGCTGTTGAGGGCTGAAGTCTAACAAAAGCTGTGGGGACCACTGTTTTCGTACCCATGGCTTAGGTCATCACAAAGGCTCCATTCCAAAGTTCTCTGAAGGAAGGGCATACTCTAAACCTCCTTTTTTTGTGTTCCTGTCATTGACAGAGTACAGTGGACAAGCTCATCAAGAAAACAAACCTAGCCTTGGTTGTAGGAACACATTCATGGCGGGAGCAGTTCATGGAAGCCATTACTGTCAGTGCAGGTGAGAGAAACCCAATGATGATGACTCAGTTGAGGTGGATGTTACTCAACAGGGTCTGAGAGAGAGAGAAACCTAATATGACCATTATGTCCCCCAAAAAAATCTTATTTATCTCTTCTTCCATTTGGGGGGCTTCAGCTTTGCAGAATGGCAAGATTTGTTGTGTTTGTTTTTTTGTGACCTGTATTTTGCTTTGCTTTTTCAATCAAATGTTGGATATCCAATGAGTGTTTATCAGAACTGTCTAATCATCTGTATTCTAATTACCAAATATATTCTGTTTAGATAAATGTATACATTGTCACAACCTCAGTCTAGGTGACTTCTTTTAGATATTGAGGGAGCTGTGAAAAAAAACTTACCATTTAACAAAGAAAAGCTATCAGTCATTGGTACAGAGAAATACTGTTTTAAATGTTTTCTTCAAGTACTTTATTTTGTTTTCATTTCTAATTACAGTAGCTTGCCAGAATCAAGTATTCTAAAAAAATTCGACAATTTGTTCTTGTAATGCTCAGAGTCAGTAATTAAATCTAACCACCAGTAATTACATTTGGTCCATGTTGATTAATCAGATCTATCAACTAGGTTAAATCAAATTGGCTAAAACATTTAATTCCTCTACAGTTCAGACAAAATTTGGCAGTTCATTTTTATATGTACTACAGAAACCATCTCCTTGGTTTTCAGTCATTAGGAGTGCTTTAAAACCATTTATGTTTGTGATTGGGGTTGTGAAAAATCAGGCACCCAATTGGGCACTTCTCTTTCTTTGTTGTTGTTTTTCAACACCTTGTGCATTTTGCACATTGTATAATATGGAAAAGATAACATATTAAAAATAGTATTAAAAACAAACAGCTGATTCCCTTTGAAGCTTTGTATTCTGCCACAAGGAGTGTACCCTGGTTTTCCAGGTGCCATGCATTCATTCTGGAGAAGACAGATTAATTTCTAGCAAATCTGCAGACTGGAACAGTCATTAATTGTTTCTGCTAGAGTTATTTGTGAGCTTGCTAGCGACCAGCATGTGAGATAGGAGGAGGGCCAAACACGCCTTGGGCTCTTCTGTCTGTGCAAAAGACTGTTTGTAGCTTCTTCTTAGCTTGAGTTCTTTTCAAACCTCCAGCCATATCAGCTCTAATAGAAAACTGGAGCAGTCACACCTTGCTTGGGGCTGTTTTCATTTCAACACCTGCTTCTTCTTCCTTGCTCTGTTTTCTTTCCCAGTTGAACACTGTTTTAGGGCATTCTCCTTGGCTGAGGCCCAGGCATACATCCTTCAGTGGACATTAAGTACCACTGAAGACAATGGTCTTTGCTTTCAAATAGACCTTTAGGGGAGGCAGCTAGTTCACCCTTCCAACACATCTCCTTGTCACATTCCCCATTTATTTTCTCTCCCTTAGTAATACCTATGTATTGAGATACAGATTAATGCCTAAGTTCTTCTTAAATTTTAGTTTAAAAGATACCACCCTCTGCAAATCATGGACATGAGGATCTTTTCCACTATCTATACTTTTTCCTACCACAGAGCAGCCAAACATCGGTGTGAGTGACTAGTGGCGCTCAGATGGAAACCAATCCATGTTCAGAAATGGCTGAGAATAGGACAGTCTCTCTGGGCTGCAGTGCACATTGGGGATACTGTCATGGGTGCCACGGCAAAAGGCTGCGACAAGGCAGGGTCTGTTCACAAACAGTTTTCTTATGAAAACTTGCTTTTATGAAAAAGCAAGCAGATGATGCTCAAAGGGAAGGCACTTGGCCAAGAGCCTGACCAATGTGCCAGAGATGGTAACTGACCTCCTAAACAGTTCCACTCCTTCGAATCTCATCCCAAGCACACAAACATTTTCTCTCCCTCCCCGTGGCACCAGCCCTCCCTTCTGTAGGAACCTGCAAAACCATAATCCCCAGATTCCCAGCAAATAATTCCTGGCGTAAGACAAGTTACGAGACGAAATGTCCAACCTCTGTTCTGCCCATTTGATTTGTAGGCAACTAGCCTGTTTCTGCAGTGTTTCAGTGTCCTTAACGAACATATTAAGTTTTTTTTAAGAACCATAGTGTGAAAGTCTTCTTTGGTGGAAAAGTGCAGGGGTGGGGTGGAGATTTAATCACCACCCCAACAGATGTGTGGCTTTCTCCCATAGGAGTGAATGGGTGGTGCATAAGGAACAACCATTGCATATGGTGTCATTATTTATCACTTATTTATTACATTTGTATCCAGCCTTTCCTGCATATCTCAAACGAGCCTACATGAGTCTCTTCCTTCCATCTTTATCCTCCCAACAATCCTGTGGAGTGTGTCGAGATGAGAGAGTGTGATTGAGATTTGAATTCTAGTCCTACACCCTAGTTCTATACTAGATTAGCTGCTATTGTAATAAGGGCAAAACCTGCCTCCCTTGCTTGACCAGGAGTGGCCTAGCTTCCAACATCAGAGACTTGCTTGTCAAGGAAGCTCTCTCTTCGCACCGGTCTTTGCAATTTGCTAGCTTTGTAGCATGACTTGGGCTGTGGTCACACTGGCAATAAGAACTTCATTTAAGCCTCATTTTGATTTTATCGTTCAGACGAACCAAGGGTAAAATAAATTTACATGGGCTGCAAAGCAAATTTTTTTTTCTACTTGGCTGGCAAGGGCTTTTTAAAACACATCACTTCTAAAACTGATTCAACTCAATGTGATTTTGTAGATGTGAACACTGTTGTTATTTTAATTTGTGCCTATATGGATTTTAGGTAGCGGGGCACTGCTGTTTTTCCTTTTAGTTTTTTTTTAATTCATCTTAAAATGTTTATTGCTGCATCACTTCATCAATATGTTTGACATTACAACCACCTACCCCATTCTCTCCATTTGGCTGATGAAGGAGCCAGCGGAGCAGCAGAAGACAAGCAGATGCAGAGATGCAGAGAGGGCAATCTGTACACCATGAGTATTGTGGCCCCCCCCCGGATCTGGCAGTCTTTCCCCCCGTTCTTATTTTTTCATCATAAATCAGCTGGGGTCACCCGTGTTTCCCCTGTGGTTTCTAGCGACTACTGTGACACCAGGTGGCATTTCCTAGAGACTCAATTTATTGATGCATCTTTTTTTGAAAAAATAAAACCAGAACCTTTAAAACAGCATGCTCCTAAAACAGAAAAAATATGAGTCAATGTCAGCGGTGTAGACACCAAAACCAGTTTAAATCACCGGAAATAAATTGATTCCCATTCAATGCATGTGACATGGCCGCCGGTTTATATACCACCTGACCTGAACCTGATTTTTAAAAAGTCTGAACAGAAGCTGATTCAGATTGCCAGTGCAACCACAGCCTTGTATACTAACCCCTGGAAGTGAAGTCTTTTTTCCTAGCCTTGGGCAGTGAAACTTCTATATCCCTTTTGTCTTCCCTATGAAAATGTGGTCCAAGTAGAAGGGTCCAAGGATGTATTCTTGCACAGAGAAAAACTAAATCCTTTTGACACCCACCTTTTCCCTTCTTCTGAGAATAGATGAATAAGAATGCCTGGCATGTTCCTAATGTTGTCTCTGTTGCTATGGTAATAAATGTGGCCACATCCTCTGGGTACTCATACAAGAACAAATTTAAGGACATTAAGAGATAGCTCATGTTTCAATGACCTACTTTCAAAGATGGTGCTACTGCTATGGGCATGGAGACCCCCAGTGCTGTCTTGAACCCTTTCATCTGCCAAATCTTCACCACCCCAGAGTAAGAAAGAGCTAAGGTGAAGCAACCCAAAGCATTTATTTCTTCGGTACTAATAAACTCCTCAGTGGAAATAGACATTTTCTTTGCTTACTTTTGAGGAAAGTGTATTTACTGGCTGTCCTTTTAGAAGGTAGACCAGAATATGTTTCCCCATTGCATTTGGCTTTCTAAAGGTCATCAGTAATTGAAGTCATAGCCTAACAAGTCATGGCAAGTTCACATCTCTGTGTGCTGTTTCCTGGGGTGGGTAGGGGTCAGGCAGGGAAAGAAAGCTGGTTCTGAAGTTCCAAAAGTAAGGAAGAAAAGGCTAACATCAGGGTGGAACTTAAGGGTCCTGTCCTTTTCAAGTTATTTTCAAAAGTTACTTTTAAAGAGAAACATTTCCCTTTCTGGAAATGTTCTGGAAACATTTTTATACGAATTACTCGTTTCATTTCCTTATCAATCCTAAGTGGCAAGGGGATTTTTTAAAATCATGATCGTAGAACGGTAGAGCTGGAAGAGACTCTATGGATCCTCAAGTCCAGCCCCTTGTCAGGGAGGCAAAGTGGGGAATCGTACTGCCAACCTCTGGCTCCACAGGCAGATACCTAAACCACTGAGCCACCCATTTGGTTTTACCAAAATATTAGGTATTTTGAAAGTGCAGTATCAGCACTGGTTACTAGGGGTGTTAGAGAGTATTTCTATATTGCCCTGGGCAGTAGCAACACACTGACTGAAATCCAACAGTAAGTCACAGCTGCAATAGACCGATTGAGCGAGTGGGGGGGTTTGGTGAGTCAGCTCCTCCCTAAGTCACCAATTTGGGGTGAAAAAACCCACACACAACACAAGGGACTACTTCTGCAAATAGAGGAATGGTGACAATAATAGTAACTTGGTGGCCTCTAAATAACAAATAATGCAACAAGTGGGGGTTTTTTTAAGTAGCTGAGAAGGGCACATCCAAAGCAAAAGGTGCCTTGGGACCAATTCAGCACTTGACCAGTCTTCCCCCAAATTGCCATCTTCCAAAGGTGTCATTCCCCGGTTGGGAATGAGAAGACTTGTAGTTTGGCACAGGAGGGCAACAGGATGAGGAAGGGCATACTAGACAACGCCGAGTGTTATCTGGGATCCTTCTTGGAACTTGTTTTATGCTGTCCACCAACCAGACCATCCACGGAGGAAGGTCCAGATATAAAATCTCCTTACTTCAGCCTGATCAGATAGTGGGGCTAAATGTCCTAGAATTCACATAGTTACAGGAATTGGAGAAAATTCCTGTTTGGCCTGCTGAACGCATTTAGGTACCTTTTTTCACGACGAGGTTTTTGAAGCAGAAACGTAATGGATGCCTATTGCCCAGCAGGTTAGTGGCAGCGCAAGGGGATCAGAAACCAAAAGATGAAGAAACATGTCTTTATGGCCTATTTAGCCAATGTGCATTTTCCAACAAGAGGAGCACTGAGAAGTGAATCATTGATTTCCCTTTGTCCCTTGGGTGGTAGACAATAGGTATTTGACTGACATGCCCCTCCATGTTGTTAGCAGCTGTCACCAAGAGCCAGCCCCCGACAGCTCATTCCTTCCCGGAAGGCTGCAGCCAGCAATCGCTGCACTGAGCCGTGTGCGAACAGATCCAGAGGTCTCTGAGCTCTGGGTGTTTGTGATCACTCTATGCATGACTTGAGCTGCTCTTTCCAAAACCATCCATTCTTCCCTTTCAGATACCAAAATCAGGAATGGAGAACTCAATACTTCTCTGTTTCTCCTGCACAGACAATATTTAAACAGTTTTTCCTAATTCCAAATTCCTTATAATTTGAGAATTTTAGTCAATTCTCCGAAAGCAAACTGAAACAAAATAGGTGGATACAGGTTGCATGTGCCTTCTCACCTCTCTCCTCAGCCTGGAGAGGACCACGTTATACTTGCCTGCCATATATGTCTCAAAGACAAGAAGCATCTCAGAAAAAAAGTGACAGAGGTAGTTCAGGATTACTATGGTTGAATGAAAAGCCAGCTTTTTAAAGAGTTGAGCATGTAAAACCCCAAGTTTCAATGGAATATCAGTCTCAGTTTCAGACGCATTCTGAATTGTATACTCTCAGTTTCTTTCCATTCCAGATTTGATGGACTCTGAGAGTTCAGATTAAAATCAGATGGAAATGAGCCATCCTGAACCAGAACTGTAGGAGCATAGGAAGCTAGAGTCAAACCACTGCTCCACCTGTCTTAGTATTGCCTGGCACTGGCTTTCCAGGGTTTCAGGCAGGATTCTTCCCTCGTTTTGCCTGGAGATCGCTGATATCCTCTGATGGCCTCTTACCCAAGTACTAACCAGACTTGATCCTCCTTAGCTTCCAAGATCAGGTTGATTCAGGGAAGTATGGTGGTATGTTACCTGTGACCGTTTCCTGAGAATTGGTGATGACATAATATCCACACCTGCAGTCCAGCAAATACCTTGGGATCATGATTAGGGATCTGTCTGTTCATCTAGGCATTCTTGTTTTCTTCTTTCCTGCAGCAGGTGATGAGGATGAAGATGAGTCTGGCGAAGAGCGCCTGCCCTCCTGCTTCGACTATGTCATGCACTTCCTGACCGTCTTCTGGAAGGTGCTCTTTGCCTGTGTCCCACCCACTGAGTACTGCAATGGCTGGGCTTGCTTCATTGTCTCCATCCTGATCATTGGCATGCTCACCGCTATCATTGGGGACTTAGCCTCTCATTTTGGCTGCACAATTGGCCTCAAGGATTCAGTGACTGCTGTCATCTTTGTGGCTTTCGGTACTTCAGTTCCAGGTGAGGAAACATGGAGGGAAAATGGTTGGTTTTGTCCATACAGTTTTACCTTTCCTAAGCTGTGCCAAGCTGGTACAGGTACTTGTAACACTGGATGATTATTATCATGGCTACATATTTCGAATTATTATTATCACGGCTACATCTTTTGCAGCCTATAAATGTTTCTCAAGGATGCCCCCAAAAAAGCACCATGCTTAGGTACTATGGTCATGCTTGGTCTCTAGATGCTAGATGTCTTCATCCAAAAAAGTAACTTTTCCAAGCTCTTTGCTTAGGCTAGAAATCCAAGCATTCTCAAAAGATCCCAAAGATGTTACTATTTTTATTATGCTTAGACATTTCTATCCAGCCATAAGAGTGTATAGGTGTCAGCATGGTGTCCGTGTTCATATGTAAGACTGACTGGGAGAGCAGCTTCAAATCCTCACTCAGACATCAAGCCCCCAGGATGACCAGTAGCATTCTGTCAGTCTTACCTACTTCACTGTGTCCTTAAGGGGAAAAAAGTGGTAGTTATGGAAGGGAGCCATGTATTCCCCCAGTGAGCAGCCTTGAAAGAAAATCAGATTATGCATATAATAAAGAAATATGTTCCTCTACACAAATATAGTTGCCTTTCATGGTATGCTGTAGCTTCTAATTGTCTGTATCAGGTGATAAAAGACAGAATTTTCAAAAATGACAGAATGGCCAGGAATGGTATACATGGCTTTCCTTCCCCTTTATCTCTATAAGCAAAACAATATGCAAAGGGTTCACACGTACATCATAAATATTCACATGCCTTTCCTGCCACTGAGCTTTAAAATCAGCAGGCTGCACTCTTATCGAGTTGTTGGTGGTTTCACTGAGGCTGGACAAATATGCTTCAGCCTGGCATACCCATGTGTAACCTGTTTACAGCTTATTTTAGATCTAAGATTGAAGCCATCTGATGGGACCTCGACCCCTCTAGTAATTCAGTAGTTTGACCTAAGACATCTAGTGCACCCTCCTGTCTGGGTTCACTGGATCAGATTCAACTGGTAACCTCAGGAGGACATGGACAAGGCACTTGCACACTGTAAAGTTGCTACCTCTCCTGTAGACCCTTGCCTGTCTTGGCTGTTGAAATCTGCCAAGAACTTAACAACAGAATGGGCCACTCACGTGATTATCATGTCTTTCCAGGAATGTTATGCCTTCTTGTTCGAAGGAAACCTTTGTTCAGCCCACTCATAAGGAAGTCATTCTATAGACAGATGGTTTAAAGCACTGGTTCTTAACCTTGGGTTACTCAGGAGTTTTGGACTGCAACTCCCAGAAGCCTTCACCACCAGCTGTGCTGGCTGGGGTTTCTGGGAGTTGCAGTTCAAAAGTATCTGAGGAACAAAGGTTAAGAACCACTGGTTTAAAGAACTACAGGCCAATCACTAACATCCCATTTATGATCAAGTTGATTGAGAAGATTATGTCTGCCAGCTGCAGGAGTTCCTGGAATATAAAATCTAGATCCATTTCAGTTGCAGTTTAGACTGTGCCAGAGTAGTACTGAGATAGCAGTAGTTGCTCTACATGAGGACCTCCTAACCCTGTTGGTTCTCCTAGATCTCTCACTGGCTTTTGATACCATGGTAGCCTCCTGCATGGACTGTTGAGTCTAGGGATCAGAGGCCTTGTTCTTTCCTGGTTCTAGCCCTTCCTTGATGGTCACATCCAGATGGTTCAGATGCACTTATTTATTTATTTAATTTATATGCCGCCCACACTACCCAGAGGTCTCTGGGCGGCTTACAACAATTAAAATTCAATACAGTAAAAGATAAAATAATTAAAATACAATTACAATACAATTAAAATTGCCATCGGACCCACAGCTAATATTATTTCAATTAAAAGCCTTCTGGAACAGGAAGGTTTTGACCTGGCGCCGAAATGTCATCAGCATCGGTGCCAGACGAATCTCATTTGGGAGGGCATTCCATAGTCTGGGGGCAGCTTCTGAAAAGGCCCTTTGTCTACAAGCCGTCCCTCTTACCTCCTCTTACCCTTTGGGTCCTCCTTTATGGGGTCCCTGACAGCTTGGACATCTCTCCTATGCTTTTCAACATCAATAGTATGTAAAGCCGTTGAGTGAGGTCATGAGGAGATTTGGAGTTTGCTGCAGTCAATAAGCTGATGACATGCAGTTCTATCTCTCCCTTACTACATCTCCAGGGGATGCGGTCCCAGTCCTTGAGCAGTGCCTGGCATCAATAATGGACTAGACAAAGGTTAATAAGTTGAAGCTGAATCCTAACAAGGAGGAGATCCTGTTGTTAGGGGGTTTGCCTGACCGGTTAGGAAGAAACATCCTTAGTCTGGGCAGGGTTACACTCTCATAAAAGACCAGGTTCACAATTAGGGAATAATTCTGTATCAGGCACTTTTGTTGGAACAGCAGATTTCTACCATAACCAGGACCACCTTTTCATTTCGCTACCAGGACCACCTAATGTTTCGCTCGTCGTCCAAGTAACTTCTTCAGCCTGCAGAGAGTTGGTAGGAGATCCCTGGTATATCTGCCAGGATCTTATCCCCTATTTGAAAACAGTAGACTGAGCAGAGATGTTCAAAAGGGCCTGAAGCTGGTCAGCCATCACCCTCTCTACCACTTTGCTAAGGAAGGAAACATTGATGACAGGCCTATAATTGCCAATGTCATCTGTAACAACTGAATGATCCACAGCAATAATTAACGGGTCTCTCCAGGAGGGCAAGGTTCCCCTTGTGCTCAAAATCCTCCAAGGTAGGCTTCAGCATTATGTGGATCGAGAACTCCCAGAAGTACAAGCTGGATTTCGAAGGGGCGGAGGAACTAGAGACCACAGCTAACATGTGCTGGATTATGGAGAAAGCCAGAGAGTTCCAGAAAAACATCTACTTCTGTTTCATTGACTACACAAAAGCCTTTGACTGTGTGAACCACAGCAAACTATGGCAAGTTCTTAAAGAAATGGGAGTGCCTGACCACCTTATCTATCTCCTCGGAAATCTCTATGTGGGACACGAAGCAACAGTTAGAACTGGATATGGAACAACTGATTGGTTCAAAATTGGGAAAGGAGGATGACAAGGCTGTATATTGTCTCCCTGCTTATTTAACTTATATGCAAAAGGCTGGACTGGAGGAATCCCAAAATATCCTCTTCTCTTGCCTTCACACTTTCCCAGCATGAGGGTCTTTTCCAGGGAGTCTTCTCTTCTCATAAGAATATATGCAGAATACATCATGTGAAAGGCTGGACTGGAGGAATCCGAAGCCGGAATTAAGATTGCCAGAAGAAATATCAACAACCTCAGATATGCAGATGATACCACTCGGATGGCAGAAAGTGAGGAGGAATTCAAGAGCCTCTTAATGAGGGTGAAAAAGGGGAGTGCAAAAATTTGTCTGAAGCTCAGCATCAAAAAAACTAAGATCATGGCCACTGGTCCCATCACCTCCTGGCAAATAGAAGGGGAAGATATGGAGGCAGTGACAGATTTTACTTTCTTGGGCTCCAGGATCACTGCAGATGGTGACAGCAGCCACAAAATTAAAAGACGCCTGCTTCTTGGGAAGAAAGTGATGACAAACCTAGACAGCATCTTAAAAAGCAAGACCGTGCCGAGAAAGGTCTGCATAGTCAAAGCTATGGTTTTTCCTGTAGTGATGTATGGAAGGGAGAGTTGAACCATAAAGAAGGCTGACTGCCAAAGAAATGATGCTTTTGAATTGTGGTGCTGGAGGAGGCTCTTGAGAGTCCCCTGGACTGCAAGGAGAACAAACCTATCAATTCTAAAGGAAATCAAACCTGAGTGCTCACTGGAACGACAGATCCTGAAGCTGAGGCTCCAATATTTTGACCATCTCATGAGAAGAGAGGACTCCTTGGAAAAGACCTTGATGTTGGGAAAATGTGAAGGCAAGAGGAGAAGGGGGCATCAGAGGATGAGATGGTTGGACAGTGTCATCGAAGCTACCAACATGAATTTGACCAAACTCCAGGAGACAGGAGGGCCTTGCATGCTCTAATCCATGGGGTCACAAAGAGTTGGACACGACTTAACAACTAAATAACAAGCTAATTGGACCAGTAGTCCTGACTTGGTGTGAAGTCACTTTACTTCCTGCTCACTTTGGTTAGTTGCACATATTGTAAGCAATGCCTTGCCCATGATAATTATCAGAAGGATCAGTCCAGAGTATTTAGCTGAGGAGTCCAGAGTGATGCTGCAAATATGGAGCAGTAAGAGGTCATGCAAAAGAGTATGAAGCGTGTGTAGGAAATATAGATCCTAGTGTGTGTGTATGTATGTATTTTTTTACCTTATCTTTCTCCCTGTAATATGATTCAAGGCATCTTACAAATGGTTTTAAAAGCTGAAATATTAAAATATGGACAAAATATAAAAATCATATTGTTAAAAAAAACAATTAAACATATGTATTATTACAAGGCAGAAAATAAAAATCATGTTAAAATCCAGTTTAAAGCACACATTTTGAAGTTATTAAAAAAAAAAAACAGCTTTTCCTTTAAAAATCTTCCTCAGCAGCAGTTTCCAGACTTTTTCCTTTTCAGGTAAAAATGCCTACCTGAAAAGGAAAATGTTTGCCAGTGGAAGGACAGGAAGGGGGAGACCAGTCTGATCTTTCATGGAAGAGAGTATAGAAGTCTGGGAGGCCACTACCAAAAGGTCCCTCTCCTCTGTCTGCACAAACAGCCCCTGTGAGGGTGGTGGGGCGGAGAGAAAGGCCTCCCCTGAAGATCTTAAAAGGCTGGGGACAGTGGAGTGGAGAGATACAGTCCCTCGAACAGCCTGGAGCCAAGCTTTGGGCCATCTCTCTAGTTTGTAAGGCACTGCTTTGCTGTGATTCATCATGCTCTTGTGACTTCTCTCTGTTTCAGACACGTTCGCTAGCAAAGCTGCCGCCATCCAAGACGTCTATGCAGATGCTTCTATCGGCAACGTCACAGGCAGCAATGCTGTCAATGTCTTCTTGGGCATCGGACTGGCATGGTCAGTGGCCGCCATCTACTGGGCTTATCAGGGAGCGGAGTTCCACGTGTCGGCAGGCACGCTAGCCTTCTCCGTGACACTGTTCACCATTTTTGCTTTCGTCTGCATCAGTGTCCTGTTGTACCGAAGACGGCCTCACCTCGGAGGGGAACTAGGAGGCCCCAAAGGGTGCAGACTGGCCACAACTTTGCTCTTTGTGAGCTTGTGGTTACTGTACATTCTGTTTGCCACTCTGGAGGCCTATTGCTACATCAAAGGGTTTTGAGTTGCGGAGGGAGGAACAACACGCCAGAAGAGAGGGCATCTCCCTCCTTTGTTACCTCATTGGACACCAGTCCTCAAAAGTGTTGCCAAACCAGGAGTGACAGCTATCAATCAAGATTCCGTCATTACCCATACTGAAGAAAAGCTGGGCTTTAAGAAGGGCAAAACCATCTCTTAAAAGGGAAAAAATAAAAGTTAAACAAAGCCAACACATCAACCCAGCCAGTGGTCCCATATTCAGTCAAATCAGAAGGAGGAGCAGCATTTCGAAACACCTACTTCTTCAACATTGCTGCTGATCTCAACATTGTTATTTCCTCCCCTTGCAAAATGTGATGTATTCCGATGAAAATCTTATAAATAATTTGGTTGATTGTTTCGGTTTATTTTTAATTTGGGGATGGTGAATCTTACTTGATCTCTTTTCCTTTTTAAAAAAAAAACACTCAGAAAGGGGCTGAAAAATAGTCCACACATCCAAACCTCATGTCAGCACCAATGCTGGAACTAGAAAATGCTCAACATTTTATTTTACTTATTTTTTACATTGCATAAACAATATTTATCAAAAGACTCACTTGTGTCACCTTATTTTAGGGTTGCATTGCTAGACTGTTATATTTGAACTGCAAACACAGTACACAAACACATATTCAGGAGAAATACAGTTGAAAGCTGGAGCACGTAGCAGTTCATTCACCGGCCTGGGCTACCAAAAAAAAAAAAAGACGATGTTATATGTAAATTGTATATTTTGAATATGGCAGTTCTTTTTATGTAACTAACATATAACTTTAGGCACTGCAGAGAACAAAAATGTATATAGTGATTTATAACAGTAAATAAACCAGCTGAAGGGCAGGTAGAAACTGCAGTAAGAAGGAAAGAAAAACAGCCCAAGTTTCTTCCTTCTTTCCTTTTTTATCAGGATAAATTTTTTTGTTCCATTTATGGGAGAGTTTTTTTTTTTGTTTAAAAAAAAGCTTTGGATTTCTTTAAGGAGAAGTGAGGTTATAGAAATAATTTGTCCTCATATTTTTGGGTCCATATGACAAACCTCTGAGATGTTACTTGCCACTCAAGAGTTTTTGGAGGATTACCCTCATGGGTTGACTCTGTTCTTAGTAATGTCGAAGCAAGTGGACAATATTGTCAGATTGTGTCATGGATGACTCAGTAGCTTTGTAAGAATCCTATTTGTAAAAGGGACCTCTCAGCAGAAGCATTCAGACCTATCCCTATGTTGTTGCTTATTATTATGTGAATAAGCCCGAGACTTATGCCCACACCTTTTCACTTTTGTTCTGCTGGTGTAATCACAAGGAAGAGATTTTGGAGATACCCGCTATTGCTTGCAGCAAACTATAGTTTGTTATCTCTGAAGCAGAACAAACCATGATTAGTTTTACCAATTTTGTCTAAACAAGCCAGCTATAAACTATGGTTTATGATGCTGGGTTGTACTGATAGATCTTACTTAAAATTAGCATAGCTTACATTTCAGACAAAACAACATTTTGCAGTTAGGCTAAAATGAAGTGAGACATCTTGCCTCCTCGCAGCTGCACCAGTGGAGATAGGGGATCTTAGCTGGCACACATAATATTACATGGTACATCCCAGTGAGGTCTGTGTGACCTGGACACCTAGCGCATTAGACACTGGGAGAATTTGTGGTTTGGAGGGCATTGTGCAGCACCAGCAATTAAACTCATATAGAGCATTTGGGAAGCCTACCTTTCACGGTTCTTAAGTAGAGACCCCACTGTAGAGCATTTGGGAAGCCTACCTTTCACCATTTCTTTAGTGGTCTGGCATTGAGTGCCATTTTCAGCAGAAAGGCAGGATAGAAATTAAATAACTAGTAACTTTACCTCTTTTAAGGCAGAGTGTGATCTTGCGGATGATGTTACATATCCAGGTACTACACTGGTAACTAGTATATTGAACAAAGCTGTCACCAAGCCCTTTGAGAATTTGAAGGGTTTTTTTCCCTCTAAAGAAAGCACTAATATTTTTTCAAGCTCTTGTGACATTTTCCACTCTTAATTGCCTGTGTTGCAACTGGCCTCTTGTTCTCTTGACAACTGCTTTTAAAAAGGCTAGGGCTTCCCAGCTTCTGTTGGACTGAAGCATATGGTCTTAACTTGCCACCATGTATTATCATGTGACAAACATTCTAGAAAAGCACCCTTTTGAGTCCAAATGATAATTTTTACAATATATATAAATATAATTATATGAATTGTATTACAGTGGTGCCTCGCTTAGCGATGTTAATTTGTTCCGAAAAATCGCTGCTAAGCGATTTCATCGCTAAGCGAAACGCGGTTTCCCGTTGAAGTGCATTGAAAACCGGATAATCCGTTCCAATAGGAACAAATTGCCGTCCTTAAGCGAAAATCACCATAGGAAACATCGCTAAGCGAAACGCAGTTCCCCAGTTGAAAAGCACTGAAACCTATTCAATGCATCTCAATAGGGGGGGGGAATACAACAACAAATTTAAAAAGAGTCAGAACAAAGTCAAATTTGGTTAACAAAGGGTTTATTAAGTGCACTTTATGATTTTGAACATTTTAAACAGTAAACTTTAACTTTATAAATAACAGAAAAACATTAAAAAAAACAGCAAACATGAGGCTGTTTAAACCATCTTTAAGCAAAACAGGGGACCCAAAATTTAATCGCTATGCGAAGCATGGTCCCAACCATCGCTAAGCGAAAATCGCCCATAGGGACCATCGCTAAACAAAGCGCAAAAACGCTCCAAAAAAGTCATCGCTAAGCGATTTCGGCGCTAAACAGAGCGCCCGTTAAGCGAGGCACCACTGTAACAGTTGCTGATTAAAAGCTATCCTTGTAACTATATAAACACGGATAGAAATATATACATATTTTTAAGTGGAAGAAGTGTGGGGGTTTGCTTTTTTTTTTAAGAGTAAGACATTTTCTTTTGCCAAAAAGCTTAGGTGCTCTAAAGGAATGTCTTCTTCAGAGATCTTAAGTTTGTTGAGGGAATGCAGGGAACACAGTGGCTAGTAAACAAGGAAAAGGAAAGACATTTTTTATATATATTGTTTCAGAAGATTTAACTGGTGAAGGCAAAGATGTTTTAAAAGCCAAAAAGATGTATGTGAGAGTATGTGACTAGGTACATGTATGCATACATGCACACAAATATACAGGCATAAAAGAAAATGGCAAAGGCCAAAAAGAATACTTTACTGACCATAGAAATAAAGACACAAAGTGATTTTAGTGAGCTATTATGACAATGAATTGAAAAAATGAAGTATTTATTTTCGTATAAAATCACAGAATTTTCATATATGGCACACTCCATTCATATCTCCTTATTTTGTATAACGGATGTAATTGAGAAAGAAGCATGCTTCATTTTCTCCTGTCATGTGTTTTGGAGGAAAGGCATCATGTCTTAGAACATCTTTCTCCTTCCATGTGGTGTCCTCTACATCAGTGGTCCCAAACCTTGGGCCTCCAGATGTTCTTGGACTTCAACTCCCAGAAATTCTGGCCAGCAGAGGTGGTGGTGAAGCCTTCTGGGAGTTGTAGTTCAAGAACATCTGTAGACCCAAGGTTGAGGAATGTTGCTCTACATATCTTGAACTACCACTCCCAGAATCCTCCAGGATGCCAACTGATGAACTCTGGGAGTTGAATTCTAATATATATGGAGAACAACCAGGTTGGGAGACACTACCTTAGAATTAGCAGTGGCATAATATTAGAAAGTTTTATGCCAGCAAACGTTTTGATTTCTGAAGCTGCATGAGAAATGGCTCATCCCAATGGTGATGTGAATGAGATGGAGAATGCCGTGCATGTGGAAGTCTCCAGTGCATGCCTCACTGGGGTTCACAGGAGTTGCAAAGGGGGAGCACAGTAGTGGTGGATTGCGTCTGATACCACTTTGTATGGAACCACTTTGTATCCTGTTCTGGTAGTCCATCTCCAGTCCAAGTGGTGAGGTTTTCTTAAGCAACTGTCATACTTCCCCATCTGTCCTATGATTTTTGCAACTTATTTTAAGTGACCTACCCTAATTCTTTTGGAAGTCGTGGAAGAGAGGCAGTAGAAATCTTGTTAAATGATTTTTTTCCCTGTCGTATGACAAGTCGTGCCCCAAACCTTGATTTCAGAGGTGAGAAGCTGGTGATCTGATTATCAGCATTTCTGGATTTTTTAAAAAAGGCTTTTAAAATAGATCAGAGTGTTGGGGAGCTATGTCAACCCTATATTTCCATGTATTATCTGTTACCATGCTATTTAAGTCATGCTCCTTTGGAGTCCTATTCCCTTGGTACCATTTACCTTTTTTTAATCAGAACTACCAGTTCATAATGCCAGTCCTGTCTTGATTGTCTATCAGTATATCCATCCCATTTGTATCCTGATTCCTGACTGGCCCCAAAGGGTCTTTGGACAGTGCAAACAAGAACTCATTTTATCCTTGCAAGAACTTTGTGAAGTGGGATCAGGCTGAGCAATGTGGTCTCTAAGCAGAGCTTGGGTGAGTTAATATCCTGGATCATGACTGCTGGATAGCTTGGTGGTTTAGGTATCTGGCTGCAGAGCCAGAAGTTGGGAGTTCTAACACTATCGTGCTCAGAACCCCTCCAGCCAGCTTAGCCACTGGACGGAGGATTCTGAACTTGGAGCATTAACTGTTCCAACTTCTGCTTTTATTTCACCAGGCTTGCCCTTTCAGCTTTGAGAATTCCAGCTCTCACTTCACGAGATTCACCTACATAATCATTTACATATTTGTTTCTATTAGATTTTGTTAAAAAAAAATACTGCCCTTGGTATTCAAGGTCATCAGATGAGCTCTTAATAGATCCAACCTATCTCCCCCATTCCTAGCCTATATAAACCTATCTTGGGTACAACAAATACTATTAATCATGTTTGCTTGTGCTGTATCAAACACATTATTTCCATAATGCTTATTTCTTAAGATCACCTTGTTGGGGAGGGAGATAAAGAGCTGTGTGCTGTTGCACATGTCATGATTTACTTTGCGGCCCTCAACACGCACTGAAAACAATTGCTCTGGGCCAACTATATCAGTGGAGTGTTTCTTCATTTTATTTTATTTTTTCAGTCATTAAATACAAGAGAAGCAAACTAAAAAAAATTGTCTTGCCTTTTTTTTGATTGATTGTTTCCTGTTCTTTTCTAAAATACATGTTGAATAATTTTTACTGTATTTTTGCCTTTTATTTGTTGTTAAAAAGGATTCAAGGCAGCTTACATCATTAAAAGATAATATTTAAAGCTAAAAACAGGAACTATACAAATACGAAGCAGAAACAAACAAATGCCACACTAAAACCACCAAAAACACATTCAAAGCAGTAAAGTACAACTCTGTTTAAATATCCCAGGCAGTCACTAAGGGAAGGCTGGCCTGAAGGGAAAGGTCTCCCCCTGATTTTAGAAGGACAGCAAAGATGGGGCCAGACTGGCCTCCTGTGGGAGGGAGTTCCAACGTATGGCAGCAGCAACAAAGAAGGCCATCTTCCATGTCCCCATCAAATGCCTCTGTGAAGGTGATTAACATATTTTTAATGTTGAGGTATTTTTAATAATACATTCTAAAAATCATGTTTTACCTGTCTCCCAAAAAGGAGACTCAAAGCAAGAGTGGACAGGGTCAACAAGATTAAGTGCAGTAACATAGAACTTCCAAGC